CGTGTGCTCTTCCGATCTCCCCAAAACCCCAAAACCCCAGAGAAAACAATTAAATCGCTTATTTAGAAATAGATAAATTTGATTTAGAAATTAGTATTAAATCTTAATGGAGATAGATTTAGAGATTTACAGTCATCTAGTTAAAGCAGGAGTGCTTGAGGGAGGAATCAACAACCCTAGTCATAAGGTGCTACTTGATCTAAGAAAAGTTATTTTTGACAAAGATACTTCTATATTGTTTGAAAACGGAATAGCCTTTGCTAGATATATGATATATATAAAGCGCAGACTCGAATCTTAAGTAAGTATAATGATTTACTCATTATCAAAAAGGAACTTCGAGACTAAATATTTAATATAGTAAGATGAATAGCAAAGCAGACTTGGATTCAAGATTGATGAGGAAAAGCTCACGTAGCTGAGAACATCAGTGACTCCGTCTATTAGATTGCATAACTGGAATTTAATCATCAAAGAATTAATGGTAAGTTAATCATTACTGTAAAAAAGTGTAAACGAAAATAAGAATTCTTCCACTTATCGGATCATCAACTGATTATTTATTGTAGAAAGTAGGATTCAAAGTAAATGCAGATATGAAGAGTTTGCTAGTAGCAGGCGACTATGGAATCATCAATGATTATCTGATAGCTCTCTATAACTTCGAAATGAATTAGACCGGTGGCTAAACAGTTGACATAAATTCTTCATTTAATCCAAATAAATCAGTAGACTAAAGCAGTTTCTTGAATCAAATATAAGGTGGCTCTGAAGGGGCAGTGGACATTGGAGACATGGATTATAACAAAAGACCGAATGAAACTACAACTTGCTTAGAATTTCTTCTGAATGTAATATGTAAAGCTTTTGGAATGGTTCCCAAGCAAGCTGCTGGATTATTGACAAATGCTAATAAATATCTAAACATAGCAATCATTAAAGGGCTCAAGAATGAGTATGATCCAATCATATCCCTATATCAGGAAACATATGCTCATTCGAAGCATCTAACTTCTCTAATAGAGCATGAACATTCATTCCACCTTTCTACTAATACTCTAGGTCTAATACTGAATGCCTTTAAGTCAGGATTCCTTTCCTAAAGTGATGAAGTTGTGAGTTGGTGTTGTAGACTGTTTGCTAAAATAGCTTATGATTTTGTAGATGCTGGTGAAATCATTGGTATAGCATGGGATTGGTTCAAGGATGAGAATTAAGGTTGTCTCGAGACTTGTATTTAGGCTTTGAAAAAGCATCAATATATTCTAGATAGTATGGTACCAGTTTTAGTGAATTTTGCACGTTACAACTTTGCAGAGTTATTTACACATCATCTTAGAAAATTCACTCCTTTGCTGACTGACTACTTTAACATTATTCATGAATTAATTGGCCCCTTAAACGATAGCAAGTTCAGTAGAGAGGAACTCAAAAATACTGGAACTCTAGATTTCTTCATTGAATTATGTATATCTAAAGGTGATACTAATAATGGAGCAATCGATACTACTAAAAATGATAGAGAAGCAGCTATTTGTAAGTTATTAAATTTCTTTAATAAGCTAAATTCAATTTAAAGGTCTTTTATGTACACTCTGGAGTATGTTCCAAGATAAATTCGATAAACCCATGGATAATTTCGACTTTGAAGGCTCTACAAGAGCCAGAGTATTTATGCATCTGAGAAACACCTAAACTTAAGAACCTTAAACTTTAGGCTAAATTACATTGACCATTCTAAAGCGTAACTGTCGTGATAAATCTCAGATCGTCAGGGTAATTAAATTTCTATAATTAAAATCATTTTATAGATGACAGCAATATCTTAGCTGTTCAGATTACTTGATCAATTCTCATCAGAAAGGAATCAGTATGCTCCGATCCTATACAAAACTTTAATATTTTCCTTGATTGAAAATCATTCAAATGAGCTCATAAGATCGCATATTATGAGTAACTTTCAATTCACATTTGAGAGAATAACTACTATTCCTGTTGGTATATTAGTTGATCCATTAGTAAAATAAATCTATATGAGTGAGGGTGTAACCTTTAAGTTTAACATATTTGATTTTGACTTCTTCTCAGCAATGGCAAGACATCCAAGATTAAATATAAAGAATGCTATTTAGGTAGCTGATCTTATGGCTAAGGCTTATCTCAATGAAAATGCTCTGGATTTCCAGACTAGTGCAAGTGTATCACTTATGCTAATAGTCACAAGATTCCTTGATCATTAAGCAACTTAGGAATTTATTGTTAAATTTTCTACAGTAGCAATGACTATGCTTTCTTAGATAGAAAAAGATATTTCTGAGAAAAATGCTGAAAGAAGACAAAAGGTATAGGAATTCGAGTAGCAATTAGAAGAGTAAAAGAAGAAGCAAAGAGTACCAAAGAAAAAATGGCCACCTGAATTGACCATAGAAGAAAAACTCAAACCCCCAGAAGAGACTTCAGAGGAAGTAGAACTAAGAGCTAGACAACTAATTAGACGACATAGAATAATAGACTTGATCAAATCAGTGATTAAATACAGAAATTAAGATTTGAATGATGAAATGAAAGTAGTGCTACTGAGTGCACTATAGAAACACTTAGAAACACATAAAGAGGAAAGCAAGGGTATAGTTCATATACTAGACTGGTGGTGGGGATAGCCTTAGAAGTTGCTACAGGAGTTCATAATGAAGCAGAAAGATGATGAGAAGAGGAGAGACCGTGATCTTGAGATGCAGGATAGATATGGGACTGAAATTGAGAGGCAGTATTAGTCACAGTATGATGCAGGTAGAAGTGAAACAGATTCTTATACTATAGCCCCTAAATAAGCAAGAAGTGAATACTAAGAGAAGCCAATTAAAAGATAACAAACCTATGACTCAATAACTCCAAATAAGAAAAACGATAAATCTATCATGCTCAAAGATGTTGTGAAGAATGATGATTTGAAGCCTAAACCTAAAGAAATGACTAAGAAGTAAGCATAGTCAGTGGTAGACCTGAAAACAGATAAACCTAAAAATGAATTTTTATCGATTTTGGAAAATTCTAAGAAAGAAGAAATTCCTTCAGCTTAAAAGAAGCCAAGTTAAAATAAAAGAAATATTGATCCAGTAAGCAGAAACTTCGATGAAGTATAATCTATCCTTACTTCATAAAATAATGGGAAAGGACCTATAAAAGCAAAGCAATTACAAGCAAACAGCAAGACCTTACACTATGAAGAAGATGCGAGTGACTACTTAGGCAAGAACTTCAAGAATACCAAATCTATCCCCTATTCGGATAAAAATAGCGGACCTCCTCCCAAAGGCTATGGTCCAGGTAGAAACATGAGCATGCCTCAGTTACCTCCAATCCACTAAAACAAGAATAGACAGCAGAATTCCTATGACTCTGATGAAGATTAGTCGACTTACAGGCCTCCAGCATAGAACAAATCAGCTAAAAAGTCCAATAAAAAAGCTACCTCAGACTCACCATCGGTAGATGATGATTACTATAAGTACTTGAAATACTAGCAAATGCAAATGTCCAAGAACAACAAGAACTCAAAGTCTTAAGCCCAGCTTGCTCTTGAGTAGAAGGCTTTGATGTCGTAGGTCCCTTATGATAACTTCCTTCGATCTAAAAATGTGAAAGTAGCTTCATTAATCAATAAGCCCAAGGACAGAAAAGTGCTGCTCGAAATAGAGAAAATTAACCAAAAGAAGCAGGAGAAGGAATATAAGAAGTACCTAGATGAGCAGGTCAAAGAGTTCAGAGAGCAAAGGAAAAAATAGAAGTTAAAGCAGTTACTAGAGAGAAGGAAACTTGAATTGGGAGTGGCACCCATGATCAAGAAAAAGCCTGGACAAGCTACTGATAAGAGCAAAGCTTAGACCAGAGCAAGCAGAAGGAGATGGAAAAGTGAGGGGAGCTAGATGAATGATGAAATTGAGGATGATGATTATGAAGAAGATCAGCGTAGACGAAAGAACTAGAAACTTGATGTGCTAATTCTTGATGAAGGAGAGAGGCTTCCAGAGGAAAGAGAAAGACTGAGGAAGTTCATTCCACAAATGCAGCTGGTTGACATTAATACTGAAGAAGAGGAGAGAGATAAAGTGCAAATCAATCTTTGGCTATCTAAGTATAACAAATTGTTCAAGGCACTGTTTAATAAGTACGCTAATACAGTGAGGAAAAACATCGAGGCAGACTTCGACTACCAGGACTAGAAATCTAAGAAGATGAACTTCGCTGAGATACTAAAATACACTAAAGACCATAACATTCTGAACGAACTTTTAACTAAGGATGAGATATAGAGTCTAGTCAGAATGATCAATCTTAAAAGAAAACGCTCTGAGGACGTCTCGAACCTAGACTAAGAGGCCTTTATACAGTTCTATATACAAATGGCTCACAACATATTCTACTTCAAACAGTAAAAGATCCGAATGTCCATGATAGAAATGCTAGAGTAGCTGCTCAAGCATATGCAAAAAGCACTACTATACAAGGGTGAGAATGTACAAATGTATGAAGATCCAGAGTTTGTAGTTGGGCTAGACAGAGGCAAACTTAGATAGCTCAATTAATAACTTGAGGAGGATCCTGGAATGGAAGTACCTTAGGGTTATTACAAGGTATATGAAAAAGAACAATACTTTGACTATAATTTACCTGATTACTTACCAATCCCTGAGGCTAAGAAGATTGCAGTTGAGACCTTGGATAGTCTGATATTTGATCTCTTTGGACTTCACTTCTTAGAACCCAGAGCATATACTGTGGTGCAGCCTAAGATAAAATAAGAACAGAAGATTGTATAGGGAAAGCATAAGAAAAACCTAGATGAAATAAACAAATTTAACAAAACTCAAATGCAGTAAAAGACTAGAGGAAAAGAAATGCAACTTTCATCTAATATGAAGGGATAAATTGACCAACTAACTAACTAATATCCTAAAGAAGATCTAGACCAGGTGGGAATGGTTTTAGAGTCTATTTTATAGAAGCTAGATCCTAAAGGCTAGAATTAAGGACAAACAGGATCAAATCCCTTCTCCCTGGGTAGAGAGTAAATAGTGAATAAGATTCATCAAGATAAAATGAAAAAGCAGTTGGAGGATGAGAAGTTCTCTCATGAGAGGGAAATGAGAAGACTGAAGCATGAGAGAGAACTCAGACAGAAGATGAGTCTATTACAGTAAGAGAAGGAGGGTAAAGAATATGAAAAGGTAAAGAAGACAAAGGATTAGGAAAATACGGAATAGGATAAAAAGAGAAGGAAAGAGGAGGAGAGACAAAAAGAAATCGAAAGAAGGAAAAGAGAGATGGAGGATAAGAAGCAAAGAGACCTTGAAGATTTGCAAAGGTAAAAAGAAGAGGAGTAGGAAAGAAAAAGGAAAAATGCTGAAAGGAAAGCCAAGGAATAAAAGGAGTTTCTTAAATAGTAGAAGGATAAAATAGCTAAGGACTTAGAAGTAAAAGTAAAAGATAGGAAATAGTTAGTAGAGGTGTAGAAATAGGTTGAGAAGGAGACTGAGCAGAAGAAGACTAAGATTATGTCAAATATGGTTTCTTATATTGGCAAGACCAAGGAAGATCGTAAATAGGAAGAAGAAAAGTAAAAGTAAGAAGTGAACAGATTTATGGAAGATCCTGGCACTAAGAATCTATTGCAGAGATACTCTAAAGGCCTCAAGCAGTACTACAAGTACTTTGGTACTTAAGATAAACAGACAATAGAGTTTTCATTAGAAGCTAAAAATGAGACTATAAACTTTGCCAAGTTTATTAAGTTTGGCTATCAGTCCAACATTTACCCAGCTTTGATTTCACATGAGGATTTACAACATATTTTTAGACACTTAGTGAGAGAAAGACTTGAGGTCAAGAATGAGTCTAAAATTCTAAAGGATAAACTTTCAGCTGAGGAAGTAGAGAAATTACATGTAATTGATTTTGAATACTTTAAGAAATCAATGATTATGATTGCAGCTCTAGCCTAAGATAGGTTGGCTGGCACTTCTAAATAAAACAGCAATAAACCTTAAGGAATAGAGTAAAGAGTTCAAAGTAGGTCAATGAATAAGAGACCTGGCCATGATCCCAAACTAGACACCTCAGCTAAATTCAACAAAGACTAACTTAGTAATAGTCTGACTAGAAAGACCAAAGAGGTCAAAGAAATCAAAATATTGAAAGACCATGCTCCTAAGTATGATACTAAGATTGAGGATATACATATGGCTAAACCGTTGAGGATAGAGTCTTTAAATACAAAGACTCTTGAAAATCTATTTGCATTTTTGGAAATTAATGAAGGCGACTCGACAACCAAGGTAGCTGATAAGATTCATAAGACTCGCCTTGAAATTGCAGGTCAAAAGCCAACAAAGTTTAAAAAAGAGGAAATCAAGAAAATATAATAACTGTGAGAGGACGGTTGAGAGTGGTATGATTATTATGGTTAAGACTAATAACTAAAGGAAAATATATTATCTATTTAATTTACTTATCAAATAAATTCTATCATTATAAATACTTGAAGGGGTTTTGGGGTTTTGGGGTTTTGGGG